TCTGGATGTTCTGCTTCAGATACCACGAAGCTTCCTCCCAGAAGGTAGCAAGGAAAACAGGTTGTGAAGAGGATGTGTAGTGTCCCAGATAATCTTACAGATCCTGCTCAAGCAACGCTTCTGTGCTATGTTCTGGATGGGAGGGAGGGAACTGCCAATGATCTTTTCGGCCATCCTCACCACTCTCTACACTGCCTTCCTGTCTGAAGCAGTGATGCTTCCAAACCAGACTGTGATGCTGAATGACAGGATGCTCTTGATCGTCCCCCTGTAGAAAGTGGTAAGGATAGAAGGAAGATGTGCGTTTCTCATGCGACGCAGAAAATGCAGGCGCTACTGTGCCCGCTTCACCAGTGTCTCGCTGTTGAGTGACCAAGCCAGCCTACTTGTTAACTGCACACCCAGGAATTTGATGCTGGTAACCATCTCCACAGGTGAATCATTAATGCACAGAGGAGTGTGGCTGTGCCTGCCTTTTCTGAAATCGACAATGATCTCTTTTGGGTTTTTTGGTATTTAAAACTAGGCTGTTTTCCTTACACCAGTTCAACAACCCCTTAACCTCCTTGTGGTAAGCACCCTCATTGTCATCATGAATAAGGCCTACTACTGTTGTATCATCTGCGAACTTCACAATATGGTTGGTGGCAAACCTAGCACGACAGTCATGGATCAACAGGGTGAACAGCAGCGGACTTAGGACGCAGCCCTGAGGAGAACCTGTGCTCAAGAAAATGGTATTAGAGGTATTTGTTCCAACTCGCACATATTGGAGCCTGTTGGTAAGAAAATCAAGAATCCAATTGCACAAAGGAGTGTTTAAGCTTAAAAGGCCCAGTTTGTCTACTAGATGCTGGGGAATGATAGTGTTACTGGTCATTATCTAAGGTTACCTATATGGCCTGGTAACTAAACCACCTGTCTTCCATAGTATCTTCCCAGTTGATCCAGTCTGGCAGCGTTGGTGAACTCCATATTCCTTCAGTTCAACAAGACCATCTATCAGGACCCCAGAAGTGTGCCTTCAGTGGAACACCGCCTGCCCTCTGGAAAGACTTCCCCTTGAGATTTAAATGACTGCGAAGATCTGGCTTTTTGCCCAGCTCTTTGGCAAGGGTGATTGAAGCTACCTTTAGATTATGCGGTTTGTTTTTTTCTCTTGGTTCCCATCCAGTTTCGTCATACTTGTCATCTTTATTATTTACTTTTATTGTTTTCTTGTTTTGAATTATGTATAAATGTATAAATCACCTGGCAGAATGGCACAGTCTCCAACATTTTGAGCTGCTGCCCAACTGCTACTACTATTTTGGATTTTATTTTCCTTGCAGCCCTGTTTCTTCTGCCAGTTTCTTCTCTACCACCAAATTCTGTCACTTCTGCTACAGTTTGGGTGAGTTATCCAGCTGACAGATGGACTGATGGACACCGTCCTAAGTCCCTTTACATATTTTTCCCAACATTTCTGTGGGTTAGAAAGATGAAGGGCTATATAAAAAAAACAACTCTACAAGCAGCGTCAAACAATAAAGACTGGTGTATTCACCTGACACTTTGCTATAGTTGAGTATGGATTGCTCAATTCCGTTGGCACTGGACTGTAAACTAACCACATTATTTGAGTTTGCATAACATGCAAATTTTGTGGTTTGCAGCCGTTGAATGTATTAGCCAACAGAGTAGATGTTGCAAGCATTCACATCTACCATTCCAGGACAATGAATCAATGGTTGATTCCCATTTCTAAAAACAATGATTGACAATGACTAGATTTGTCTCTTGCCTTTAGCAAAACACATGGATTTTCAGACAAGAAAGAGAACAGCAATAAAGACAATTAGGCCAGATCTTTGCATTAGCAAAGCCAACCAGAGTTTTACTTTTGCGTAATGAATTAGCCCCCAAATCCAACTTGTTCAGCATTACCTACTGGTTGGGAGAAATAAAATCCTAAAATTCGCTCTTAATTCCATCTTTTTGTACCATCATATTTCCTTTTCCCCTGAATTGCGGTTGTAGATAAAAAGAAGCTAACATGCGCAGTAACAAGATGGATCCATATTATAATTTTAATTAAAAACTATCAATTTTTTAAAAGTTTACACAATCCAATGATCTGCAACCTAATTTACCAAGCAGTCCTGAAGTAAGAGTAAAAATGAAGATATGATATATTGTCGTGTATCCTAAAGAATTTGGGTAAGAAATATCAGTGCCTTTTTTCTGAGCTAAGCAATAGCCAATTATTCCCTGGGTAGGGCTTGTATCATCCAGAACTGCATCAGGATTCTTTCCATATATATATACAGTAAGGTAGATAAAATTAACTAGAACAATTAACCAGTGGAACAACCTGCCTCCAGAAGCGGTGAATGCTCCAACACTGGAAGTTTTAAAGAAGAGACTGGACAGCCATTTGTCTGAAATGGTGTAGGGTTTCCTACCTGAGCAGGGGGTTGGACTAGATGACCTCCAAGATCCCTTTCAACTTTTTTATTATTAAATATTGTAAGGGAAACCATTTAATACTTTTAGTCTCTGTATAATTCTTGAAGGAATAGAGAATAATTTGTTGCCAGATTGTATCAAAAATAATTAGAGATGAGCATGGAAAATATCAGTCATGGCAAAGACTTCCATTCGGTTCTGGAAACGTGCATCAGGCCAGAGGATCTTTAAAAATAACATATTAAAGGAGACAAAAATAATTTACTTTTTTAAAACAGCCTTAATTAGGCCAGATCAAATAAGCTGCCTTAAGATACTGGCTGGTGCACTTTTAGCCTGAATATATCATATAATCATGATTTATTGTAAACATTGTGTACTGAATAACTGAATGCAATGTACACTAAGCCATACAAGCTTGTTTCATTTTACAAAGCATGTTGTTTGAACTAAGTTGCTATGGTTTAGTCACTATATTATGTTTAGTCACTATATTATGTGGTGTGCAAACCAAGCTGAATGGTAATTGTTCTAGTGAAGAACTGGAATCCTACATTTTCCTGCCCCTCTAATTCCTTTCCTTTCCTTTCCTTTCCTTTCCTTTCCTTTCCTTTCCTTTCCTTTCCTTTCCTTTCCTTTCCTTTCTTCCCT